GAGATATAACAAAAACCTGTATTTTCACTTGTAGGACACAAGCCTATTGAAGAGTTAGAGAATTTGACATAGTCTAATTTTTATCGCAGAACGATCTTACTATTTCCCTATGCCCACATGCTGAGCTAGTGATTCCATAAAAATGCATAATCACTCTTGAAAGTACATAATAAAAGTTATTTATATTACCTTCCCATGGTGTGTGGTATTCTCCTGGGGTTCTATCACCTCCGGTTCTTCTGTAGACACGTCATGTCCGTGTCTGTGTGTTGACACACCGCATACCTGCAACGAGTATATGATATTAATGTATTAAAAACAAGCCTTTGTTGAATATTACTTGAATTGGACCGATATTTTGTATTAACAAATAAAACAACTAAAAATTAGATAGGGTTGCGTTATGTGATTAACAAAGTTTCTTGGCCACTTTCCAGTTCCATCATCGGACCCCGGATATTATGTAGGACCAAAGCCATAGTTAAAACAAACGAGCCCCAAAATATTATTTTATATTCTTAATTAAAAATGCTTAAACAGTCCACCATCCCCAGGTACTCTGAGATGGGACTTGAACACATGACCTTACACAATCCGCGCGACCGTTCTAATCAATGAGCTACCCAGGACCTAATAGAACTGTCGGATTTTTCAAGTACTTATAAAGTTATACCTGAGCGTACTTTCATAAATGTTCAGGCAAACAAAACCCGAACAGCCAAAACAAATATTTTTATAATTATTTTAAACTTTCGATTAAGATGACAATTTGTTCTAATTAATATATTTGGTCAATCTGCATCGACAGTGCTATCTTGGAAAATATTGTGGATGCGAAATTGATAAAATTGTAATATTTATTTATTTTTGTAATAATTTTCGACTCCTTTATGAGATTAGCTCCGTTTTATTTTACTAGATGGATGAAAATTTTCAGCGCAAATGATAACTGGGAAATAGGTTTAGCTTGTAAGATTTATAAGACTTCCCATAGGACTTTTACCCTATTACTTTTCACAAAATTTCACAATAATGTGAATAAGATGCACTAATTACTTTTTAGTTACTTACATTAGATAAGTAACAAAAAAAAATCGTTGGAATATCAGGTATCGTTGAAACGGTGAAACACATCGCACTCAATGCATTTGTACTCACAGACATAGTTAGGGGTGCCAATTCTAAAAATTAAACCATGTACTGATCAGTAGAATTTAATAAAAGTGCTGCGCAAGTAGACGATACCAATATGATAGATACTTAGATTTTTTATTCTCTTATGATTACAGCTCCAATAAATCATGGTGAAGAAATCGCAATTAGTGATTTTATTTAGACTAGGTACTATGTTCTTAATTAAATTAATATGTTTTCATGTGTCTTGTGGTAATAAAAAAAATGAGGAACCTTAAGGTGCCCGGCCAGGGTCTCAATAATGGCTGAAGAAATAACGCCTTACTTCAAAGTGAAGTCTTAATTTGTTTTAGCTTGTTAGCGACGACGCCAACATTCATACGCGTTACGATGCCATGTGTATATTAAAACTGCAAAAATAAATAACGAAATAAAAAGGTATCTGTTGAAATATCGTATTTTCGGGTTTCAAATGTCATTTTAAAATATCTATAATTAATAATCAAAGTATTTTCAATAAAATAACGGAGTTTTGTTTCTGAGCCAACCCACGCGCCAACATGGCAAATATTTGACCGAACATTCGATGTTCTAAGACAGCACATGTAGTACTATTACATTTATCAAAAATTTGAACACAAAAATTTGAATACTAAATAGTGGTTAGTATTCTCGATTACAAAGCCGTGTACATTAATATGTAGATTTGTGTCGGCCTTTTATATTGTGGTGTTTGTATGTATATTGAGTATATATTTGAAGTAAAAGATGTGTTTCCTGAAAGTGACGAATTAAACCATAAAACTGTTATAAATTACTTAAATTGGAGTTTGAATATTAATATTTTTAATAGAGATGATGATGAGTTGGAATATACAATCGACTTCGGATCCAGAAATTAGTCGAATAAAATCTCAACACAGATGACACACTGCAAAACCTAAAGCTACAGTTAGTTCTCTCTGTAAATATTTATATACCTAGGGAATAATCATTCTCTTGTCGAGTTTGAATCGCCATTCTTCTCCGTCAAGACTTCCAAATTTTAAACTACTGGTAGTTTATGTTACTCAAGGGCAAATAAACTAACAATAAATTGCATAATTCAAATATTTTATAATAGCAATGTACTTAATACAAACGTTTCCATATGATAAAATTTTGGTACTGTGAATGTGTCCAATAAGTATTGTTTAAAGGTAGCTCTTGTTAATTATAAAAAGATATAATGTTTATTTTTAAATTATAATGTTTGCAAAGATAATGGATACGAGTAGGTTTTATAATTGTACTTTTGTTTACATTAAAAACTTTCCACCTCCCTAAATAGGGGATCGGACAACTTTCTAAAAACTGTATTAAGTTAGTCAGTACGTGTGCTTATTTCAACAAAAAATATTATTTCATGTAAATTTAACCTTAATATGTACCCGAAACAATGTTTAAATTAACCGCCTTAATAGCGACTCCGGGTCGTAACGTCATTTGGGGGGAAACAAAAGGGATTATCAGTGAAAACTAATGAATTTTAGTATTTAATACATAATCAAACTCATAAATAAATAATGCAGAAAACTGACCCTTGTAAATTGTTTAAAATCAAGTAAAACCTTAAAATTATTTTGCACTTTGAATGTTTTCCGCGCTTATCCTAGATAATTTTACTATCAATTTACCCAAATGACATCATGCGCTCTAATTGGTATTTCGTTTGAGATACAGACTACAAATACTGAAATATTATATTTTTGTTTTTATTGATTTAAAAATATAAATAATTATTATTTATGCTGTCCGGTTCCTTATTATCAACGTTATACGTATATTTTACTAAGAAAAAAAAAATTACAACACGACTCAGTACTTATCCATTTCCGGAGCTCAGTTGTCGCCCAGAATATACTCTGTGGTATAATGTTATTTGGTTTCGCAGGGTATGGTACGGTATTTGAGTATTCTTTAAGTATGCGAGATGTTATCTGTATTTTTAAATATCAATAACGGAATTTGTGTAATTGTCTTCATGACAACCCTACGTTTAGCACATGAGCTAACAATACCATTATGTTGACGCCATTTTATTCACGTAACACAACCACCGATGGCTTCTACCAGTATAAGGTCAAAGCTGAAAGAGAATATATATACTACTATTTGAAGTTGATAGACACACAGACACAATACAAAATTGCATTTTAGTGTAGTCATTATAGTCGTCCATGTAAATATAAAAAATGCCATTATAATATTTTTTCTATGATTATACGATATTTTTTATATCATGTATGAAATATGCGAGCCCCTTTTTAGCCGAGAGGGAGAGACATAGGAGTTCGATGGCACAATGGATAACGCGTTTGGTCTGCGATGCAGATTAAACAACTTTCAAAAGAGCCAATTGTAGGATGGGTGACCTACTGATTTCGACACGTTTTCTCTTTATTTGGTGGAGTTGGAGTATCGTCAGCTATTATTTATTTTAAAATATAATTTAAACAATTAATAAATTATTATTTACAGAAGAAAAGACTTAATCCATATTTATAAACGGACCGACCCTTTGTATTAAAGTGCTAATTTATTCTATGATATTTCCAACCGCCTGCAAATAGGTGTCAACGTTAATGTGCTGGGAAATGTCCACTAGCTCGGGAAATGTAACCACAGACTTAAATATACATTAGAAGCGTAGACAGCTTGCTACGATTAAAAGTGAAAGGATATACTGAGAGAAACTTGATATTGCGCCTGCATATTTTAAATAGCAACACCGGTTTTAACGAATGAAATTATTGTATGTTAATTTTATAGTTATTTTCGTTCATGTTTGTGGATGTGCAACAATTTTGTGGTGGTTTATTATTGAAGTGGTCGTAGTTCGCCCTGATGAACTTTACTATTCCTTATTGAGAAATATTAGTTCTTGCTTTTAAAAAAATGGCAGTTTACAAAACAAACTTTCCAAAAACGCCTATTGGAGATCAAAAGCTTTCCTTAAATTTGTGGTAATATAGAAATCAGAGGTCATAGCATATAGCGTATATATTTTCTCAATAGATGTGATACTTTATAAGTGCATGCCATATTTTCCGCTCTAATTGAGTAATAGACGAGCTCTATCGGTGCTTCATGTGAAGGTACTAAATATAATTAAAATTCCAGTTTAACTATATTAAAATATCGTAAATTTGTGAGACATATCGGTAATATATTGGTACATAAATCATGCTCTTAAAGACATAAATTTTAAAATGTTTAACATACATTTCTTTAACATACATAGACGTAATTTTCTAGAATAATTCCATATCCAGACACATCTATTTATTACCTGTCCACTTGCACCCACTTCTCCCTTGTTCTTTATTTATTTCAATTTCATTGGTAAGACCTTGCATATAATTACCTTTATTTCCTTTGTAATGTGAACTATGTAGTACGCTGTAAACGACATTACTTTTATTTTAACTATAAAAGAAACTGGCCCAAGAAAGCTCCCTTTGGGTATTGCTTTTATTAAGAGGTAAAGTAACAACAGAACTGTTGTGTACCGAACAAAACTATATTCATAGTAGCTTGAGTAATGTCTTATGAGACATTTCCAGTCAGAAAGCAGAGCGAGTGCTTTCTATTTTATCTGAGTAATAACTTAGGTCTATAGTATTATTATATCTATGATTTACCCATAGTTAAATGTGAAACTTAAGTAATCAGTTCCAGTTTACATTATAATTATTAAAATAATATCGTATGAGTTGTAATATCATTGCGTATATGTGTTTTCGTTTTATGTATACATAGGTATATATATCTGCCCGTTGTCATAAAGGTTGTTTTCGTTTGTTTTTAAATTAAAAACAAGAATTGTCAATATTCGTTGGCAAGGTAACTATTTTCCTTGGTAACGAGTTTGTTCGATAAAATTGCTATCAAATAAACGCAGCGGTTGAATTCTCTTTATTCGCATAGAATCGCGTTAACGTTAGTTCTCGAATTATATTGAAGTAAAATGGTAATTTTACTGATAAAAAGAGGTGATGAGAACCAATTTCTCTATGAAACTGACGTTAACAGTGAAGTGGACGATGTGGTTAGAGAGGTGGTGGCTATATACAATGGCAGGTTGAAGGTGGATAGAATTTGTTACGAAATGGATGAGCTGCAAAAGCACGGTACATTCCTGCCACCGGAAATGCAGGGGTTGAATGAAGACCAGGTGAAATTAGTCTAGCACTCGTTATACTATTTGTTTACTTATCATATTAATATTGAAATTGAAACTCTGCATGTATGGAAATGTATATTAGACACTGTTCAATGTGGATGGCATCTGTTTTTATAATATTTAGAAGATAGTATGGAAATTTAGCTATAAGTTTGATGTTTCCTATTTCAGTAACAAGATTTCTGACGTTCAATACCCGGTTTGTGAAACATCTATATTGCATCTGAGTCTCTGTAGTAATCGTTGGTTCTGATTTGTTTAAGCAGAGTGTTTCAGTAATTTACTCTCGTAATATTCACTAAATACCAGTGTCGCGGATAATTAATGCAGTATAATTCCGAGGAGACCAGTTTAGTACGAGGAATTTATATTTTAATTGTCTGTTTATATTTTTATGTGCCGAAGACACTTTATATTATTAATATGAGCAACTCAATAAAAACATACCACATTGTAGCAATCCCGTAAAGAACTACAATTATTTACACTAGCAATTTCGTAAAGAACTATTATGTTTTACACTATTACTGAGAATAGAGCATTATTGTCAATAATTTACACTATTACTCAGAATGGTGTTTGATTAGAATTATACAATGATCCTAGCAGCTATCCGTGGTTAGAATTAAGTCTCTGCAATATGTAAGATTAATTAATTTAATATTTTTCAGATAAAAGAGCTCAAGCTTAAAGATCCTTGGGCTGAGCGTTGTGCTCCCGCTAATCATGTGTTTTGTAAAGATGACATGGGAAGACGATGCGGTTTGGCTCCTCCACCCAATCTTCAAGAGGTGCTTAAAAAAGCAGCCGAGACAGCTAAAGAGTTTGTTAGCAAGAAACATGTGAGTACTATTGGTTTTTATGAAATAACAACAACTAACCATTATTACACAATATATAGATGACGACTGGGTAAAAAAAAGAAAATTCTATTTAGCCCGTCATTCAGATAGAAGAAAAATATTAGATACGTGTTATTTTACTTCACTTTAACAAGAAATAGATAACAAGCATAAAAGTTGAGGAGTGAGGGTTCGCCACATCACAGTTTCGTAGAAAATGTACCAAAGCGTGACGTCATTCGACATTTTTTCTCAATGTATCGCCGTAATTTAATAATTACGGAAAAAATAAAAAAAACGTGTTAAAAATTTTCAATATTCTACCTGAGGAACAAATAAACAAAAATAAGTCGTCATACCTATTTCTTTCCACTTCAAAATTTTGATGATGGTTGCGGATTCGTAAAAATGCGATAAATAATAAAATTTTCTTTAAAACAATTGAGAACAAAGATTTTGGTAAATGCCATTAATATATAACTATAACCGAGATCTTAGCTTCGGTTCGCAGAAATTGAAATCGAATTTTCCTGTATCTTCAGACACGTGTATTGTGGTATCTTCGTTATTTTAGATTTATTGGCTTAAATGGCCAAAGAGGCAATGTATGTGATGTGTCTAATATTTATTCATTTAAAAATATGTCTATTTAAAGTTTAAAATAAAGTTGCTTACGCTGTCTTTACACTGAGATCTTTTAAATATCTATCAGATCTAATGAATATAAATATATTCCAGGTCGATCTCCGTAAATGTATGACCCAGAAAGAAGTATCTAAAGCTTTAGATGAGCTGCGTGGAGCCACAAAGATAGTGTTCCCTGCTGGTCTACCACCTCACGATCCAGTTCGTATGGAGCTGGATAATGTCGAAGATTTGACCGGCACTCAAGCATCTCAGGAAGTTATAGATCCTTCAAGAGCGTGTATATGGGCTTGTGGAAAGAAACTGTTAGGTGGAAATAAGCTATCCGATCATTTGGGTTAGTATCTGTTTGAGACAAAAGAACAGAACATTTTCAGATCAGTTACTACTTGTATAATCGCCAGCTGCAAAATTATTTATAATTTGTAATTTTAGACTACAAATGGTAAAGTTATAATAATAACTAAACATTATTCCTAAAAATAACTCAAATTTTACTATAGAAAGGATAAAATAATGGCAGCCAATTACAAAATTTCAGGCAAAAATAACAAGTCAAAGGTCACGGTGAAGCTCTGTTCCAATAACGAAGGTGCACCGGGACGTGAGCCAATCATGACAGAAGAAGAACGCAAACAACTGATGTTGCACGCATACAGGAAGCAGGAGGAGTGGAAGAAGCTGGAACAAGACGACGACGATAACTATTTGGACTCAAAATGGGCAGATGGGCAGCATATGAAACGACAATTCCATGGACTGAGCGATATTTCTTGGAAACCAGTAATTAGAAAGTGAACAAAGAATTCGTTAATGTCGCAGGAAGTTGGATGTTAATACATTAAAATATATTCGCCAAAGAAAGAGGTTTGAATATTTTCAAAAACTCATCAAATAACATGTTGTTTGATGAGTTTTTGATTAGTTGCTATTTAAAAAAATGTGGGGTAATAGGACAGTCAAAAATCAATACGATATTTCATGAAATATATTAGAGAAAAATCTTAAGAATCATGTTCTCGAGCTGAGAGCTACAATTGGATTTTTGCGCTGCAATAAAACCACAAAGCATTTTCTTTAGTATTAATTCGTCTATTTATTGATATGAAGTTATAGATTCGGATTAGTTTTTGAGCATACATACAGTAGCAATTGCACAAACCACAATGAGTCAAAAATCCCTTAATTATCTTTGAAGTTAACCATTAACGTATTAGAGCTTAAAACAATATGAGACATTTTAGATTATCTGATATGCTGTTGAATGTATTTTCTAATTCGCCAGTGAATGGTAGCAGCCACTGATTGTCATTGCGAGACATTCAAATTAGCGTGGATGAAAAATTTTGGAGCAGCACCAATTAAACTTTCTTAGATTCTAGTCTAAATGCGTGATTCTGTCGGGATTGTGATAGGTAAACCCGAACATGCCATAAAATATGAAACAAACAATGTTGTTCCAACCTAAACTTAAACTTTAATTTCACAATTCTGGAACGAAATATTTGAAGACTTTATACTGGTCAATACCCCCTGAATCAAAGCATTCAGAAGACAGATACAAAGTAAATCCTCCGATTTGCCGACAACAGTACTGGAATAAAACCAATAACGATGTCTAGACAGAAAATATTGAAGTTATGTAGCCGTAAAATTGTGACTAAGCGATATAGGGTGAAGAAAGGCTGCAGCTTTTCAGCAAAAGAAAGTATACATATTTCTTTGTGAAGACAAAGATAAAACGAGACGATTTTAATAGGCATATCATCACAGGCAATATGCCATTGTTTGTCCCTATCTTTAAAAAAATCGTGCAAAAGCATATATTTTCATGTTTTTTTCCATCCAAATCCACTCTTAAGTGACATATATTCATCATTTTTCCCTGTAATTAAAGACGAGAAACTAGTTTATTTACTTTGTTGTTGACCGTATCTATTATTAAAACAAACCATCATTCTCAGGATAGAAACTGTAAAAGCGAGCTCCAACATTACTTTGAACACTGGTATATTACCATGTATTTGATTTCTTTTAGTGACAATCAAACATACTACCTTGTTATCTTAACATTCTTATAGTTTTAACACAATTAACATATTATAAAAACCATTGAGCTAGGATAGGAAACAATTTCTAACCATTTCTCATCATTGGATAAGGTAACTCTTTTGACAATAAAAATTGGTTTTCAATAAAGTAAATCTATTCGCTCGTCTATTTTATGTACCTCTAATCGTTTTACGGCTCAAGTAGTCCATTCCGATTCATCGCTTTAACCCAAAGTAATCGTGATGCCATCCCGAATCTCGTGTTGTCATTACGTGGCCCCATTTGCTTCATTCAAATCAATATTCCGGAATGAAAACAACGGAGAAAATGACCATTCACCATCGATTACGGCTGCTAGATATTATTCGATGCGAAGATATATTATGGAACTTTGTCTGAATGTTGATATATAGATCTAGTACACACTTAGCTAGCGTCCCTCATGAGGTTTTATTTTGCCCAGAGGAAGTGATTCCACCGCGACAACACTATAATAAGTATAACCAAAGCGTCAAATTTGGGCGTAGCTTTGAATGGTAGAAATCAAATTTAAAGAAAACTATAATTGAGTAGGCACCAAAGCAACGAGTTGTCTTAAGACTTTGGGAATATATCTTTAGTATAAGTTATTACAATAAATACTTAGTGAAATTTCTGAAAATTAAATGTTGCTTTGACGTTCATTACAGATAAAGCAGATTTTTTTCCAGACGGTATTCAATAAATTTGCAGTGATGATTATGGATCATTGTTTTTATTCTTCATTCGTATATTCCTTACCACGGATTATTTTTAAAGTATATTTATACAGGAATTTCTGGCAAAAATCTGGCAAATTACCATATTCAGTTACATCGAAATGTTATAAGTTTTCACTAATTAAAAATAAAATGTAACTGGCACAGTTTGCCCTTGCATTAAAGATAGTAGTAGTGAATTGTTCTACATAATAATTATATCACTCCGTAAGTACGTTTACGTGATAGGGAGAACGTGCCAAGAAATCGTGCTGCGTTGCAGAAGGGCTGGTTCACTGGCTTAGAAGGATGAAGTAAATAACATGTTAATGTATTTTAAAAAACTACTATCATAAATGGAATGTTAATAAAGATGATTTGTCACTATTCATTATCAATAGACTTAACTATTCATATTTCAATATGAAAAGTATATTAATGAGGGAGAAAGAAAATCAATGGCAAAGTAAATTCACCAATGAACAATCTCAATGGCCAGCTTTTACTATTTAAACAATGAGTAAGGATGAAATCTAAGTTGGATTTACAAAGCGAATAAAAGTTTCATATTATATATACTAAATACGATGAATCAGAATTACTATTTACCTACTATAACAAAAACTTTTAAGAACCTTCGTAACTGCTTTGAAAGAACCAAATTAAAAAATAAAACAAAGCAACAAAGAACAAACTATATACATAGCATTGCTTCCAAAAAAATAAAGTAAGGTTACATTACTTTTAGAGGGAAATCAAAAATTCTCACTTTTATATAGTATCAATGACTGTCAACTTCGTATGATTTCTCGCTTCTTAAACCGCTTCTAGACTACGACATCTATTACAAAACAAAAATTACCTAAATCGACTCGAGTTTTAACAAACGAACAATACAGAATCTTAAAATTACGTATAAAACGTTAAGGTTTGTTAAATGTTATTATAGATTTATTGGGTTAACGTGCAAGTACGAGGGTCAAACTGAAAGTTCTTAGAAAATCAAAAACTGATTACATTAGCCAGTTATTAGTTTTATTATATCTTTTCAAAATATTGTCCATTCACGTCAATACACCGCTGCATGCGATGGAACCACTGGGAAAAGCACTTTGCCCACTCGTCCTTAGGGGTCTCTTCAATGGCATCGCGATACGCAGCCACCGCTTCTTCAGCATTCATAAACCGCTTTCCTTTAAGTTTTTCTTTAATTTTTGGAAATAAATAAAAATCACAAGACGCGAGGTCGGGGCTATACGGCGGGTGACCCAGTAATTCAACGTTTGATGTCGCCAAATAGTCGATCGTTCGCTTGGCGGTGTGCGACGAGGCGTTGTCGTGGTGAAGGAGGATCCTACTGCGAGGTCGTTTCTCTCGAACTTTTTCCAAGACAAGTGGCAAACAATTGGTAGTGTACCATTCTGCAGAAACTGTTTTTTGATCCTCTAACACAATTGTTGCAAAATGACCTATCCTTCCAAAGAACGAGGCCACCATTTTTTTTCCCGCACTTCGATCTCTCTTCACTTTAGTTGGCAACTCCTCGAAAGGAAACACCCACTGAGCAGATTGTCTTTTGGTTTTAGGATCATAACAGTAAATCCAGCTTTCGTCACCTGTTAGTATGTCGAACACAGCATTTGAGTCACCTCCGTTAAATCTTTCAATCATTTTACGACACCAATCCACACGATGGAGTTTTTGAGCCTCAGTCAAATTATGAGGTATCCACCGGGCGCAAAGCTTCCTGACCGCTAAATGTTCGTGGAGGATTTTGTGCACTTGACTCATACCGATGCCTAAGCTTGTCCGAATCTGTTGATAGGTCACTCTTTTGTCAGTCTCTATCATACGCCGCACAACACAGATGTTATCTTCAGTCGTCGCCGTAGAAGGCCGTCCCTCACGTAAATCATCAGTGAGATTAGTGCGACCACGTTTAAACTCATTAAACCAGTTGTAAACAGTCGCACGAGATGGGGCTTCATCGTGAAAGGCCAATCGTAGTCTATCATAACTTTCTTGTTGACTTAAATGACATCGAAAGTCATAAAAAATCATTGCACGAAAATTTTCTCGTGTTAAATTCATGATGACGTGACACAGACAATTTTCAATTTGCCGCCAAATCGTAAAACAAATGACAAATGAATGAAATATATACTCAGTAATATTGGCAAAGAGTTATATTTTCAAATTTTAGAATTATTTTTTTATTATATTGTTTATAAGTGGCCAGTTCTAAGAACTTTCAGTTTGACCCTCGTATGGAGCACAGTTCAAACGAGGCATTATCTCAGCTATTGTCGTCACGTGCGGACCGCTGACTGCAGATTTTCCCCCTTTTATAAGATATTGATAATTTGACCTGACCCGATTCTTCATGCGATTAGTTTGTTAAATAACTATTCAATCGAATTCTCGAAAACGAATCCAAGGAATAACCAATCTGAAATGCGGAAATGGGATTAATAGGAGGGTGTGGACGGTTATCAATTTCAATGTTTTTGAATGTATGTTCTGCGATTATTTTCGTCTTCTTCTTAGATTCTCGGCAAGAACATTTACACTCACGTAACTAAATATCGAGCTCAATGTTTGACTACGTGAGTGTAAATGTTCTTGTAGCTACATGGCGGCATAGCGTGAGTGTAATGGTGTATCAGGATTGAACTGTGATAAGACAAAAAGATTCTCATTTTTTAAATCAACATAGGATAAAAAAATATTTTGTTTTGTTTTACAACAGCCTCAATGAAATCTACAATGAAGATTTGAGTAATTTTTGGCACAATTTATGTGACCTAAAAAGTCAGTCTGGTGTTCTACATAGAGACCAAAGAGAAAACTTATTCCGATTTTAACGACTTGTGTGGGGTAACGAACTGCCGACATATGCTATAAATATTCCATTTATTCATTACTTCAGTAACTTATTAACAATATTTATTGCGCCTAGAATCATGATATTATTTATGTGCCATCTTTAGTAAAATAAAACAATGTCATATATTCTCACATTATTCATGTATAAGCTGGATAAAGCCTAAAACCTTTTAAAATCCCTG